AGGAATAGGTGGAATCTGGTTCACTAACCTATATCAACTTCTGCCCTCAAATTCCCGTTGCTGGGGTCACTGAGAAAACTATGCAGTAAAAGGCTCAGAAACACTGACCAGGATTATTATTACAGTTTGTATATTCTTAATAAGCAAAGCACCTCTTGTCATAGGGCACATTCAGAATGCCACTGTGCTGAGTGAAATGTAGCAAAGTTTTTCCACTTACACTTATTGAGATGGGGGTAGATGCAAATAGAAACCCCTCTTTATGAGGTGAGGAGAGAGATCTGGTTAGTGTATCCTGATTCTAAAGTTGCGTTTCCTTCATACCCTGTACTACCTAGTGCTTTCCCTGGCATTTCCCCAGCAGTCCCCTTTGAGCTCAGCTGTTGCAGGTAGGTAGCATTCTAGGAAATGTTAGGAAAAATGCAAATTTAGTAAACATTTTAATTAAATCTTGTTTGTTCTACAGACCTAAGGTAGGTGTGGGGAGTTTCTCTTTAAGTAGTAAAGTGTGTCTACTTTGTAACTGCCACGAGCAGATGATACAGGGATAGTCATAGTGAAAGTTGGCTGCTCTTACGTTTGGATAACTTTGCAGGAAATCAAAGCTATTCAGTGGGTTGCAAGGCAAAATCCTTGCATTACAAGAGTTCATTGTGATAGAAAATAATATCGGGGAAGTCAGTAGTAGTCCCCAAAAAAGGCATCTCAATCCTGAAAGGCAGCCCAACCCTTCTGTAGGAGAGAAGAACATTTGATAGCCCCAGGAGAGAGGGCTTGCTTTAGACATCTTCCCCTTAAGCAATAGCGAGGGGTGGGATGAATATATGATTTGTGCACAGCATACAGGTAGGTTCAGTACAATTCAGAGAGAAAACCTAAGTCCCCTTAATACCCCATCTTTCTTAAGTTGAGGCTATTTTAAAAATTAACTAGTACTTTGGCAAGAAATTTTTGTGCTTGTGTGTTTAAATGATGGCCACAAACGAACTTTTACTGTCCCAGCACTGACTGACTGTCTTTTATCTCCCCCACAAGCAAGCGTGGAGCTGTTCTTCATCTGTAAGTTTCTGTGGGCATGGAAGGGCATGGAGTAGGACATACTGCGTAGCTGGCTTTAAAAAGCATCTCTAGAAAGCCAAAACTACCTTGCTGTCTGCTGTAATTTTCACTTCTTCCTTCAGAGACTTGGGCAGATGTAAAACAGTTACGCTGAGGTCTTGAAATGCTTTATTGTAACTTGATGTCAGCTGCAGTCCAGTCTCTCTCATGTCCTATCTTGAATGTTAACTTGATTGTTGAATGCACAGTAGCATGTGCTGCCCTGGCTCACCTGGTGCTTGCTGTTCTGTTCCATATACCAGCTGAAGGGCCCTTGTTGATACAGCGTTAACATCTATTAATGTTTGCATTGTTCTCAATCTGTATACATTTGTGGGAGTGTCAAATGAGTCTGGCATCTCTTCCTGTCCCACTTCCTGAAACAACTTACTATGTAGATTTCTCTCAACAACTGAAGGGTTAGTGGCTTTTGTGGGGGATCAGTGCTGTTTCACACCTTTGCTGGTCTCTGGACACATTCCTGTTGTGTTAATGAAGACTTGAATTGAGAGAGTTCATAAAATTGTGATGTTCAGATGCAGGATGCTAAGAGCTATGTTACTATTCTTAGTTTGTAAATTGTCCTTTTGATACCATCTTGTTTTCTTTTGTAGGTATAAATAAAAACACTGTTGTCAATAAAATGTGAACATTTGTTTTTGTTTCTAGAATATAAATGGTTTTACCCCCAATCCCCTGCTCTCCCCCCTTTTTATAATGCAGAATAGTTCAGGAAATAGTCACATCTGTCAGCAACCAAATAACATTTTAATAAAAATGCTCGCTATTTAGTAGAACATCAGAAACTGAGGGATTGAGTAGAGCAGAATGCTTGAGTATTTACAATACTGAAGGAACTTCAATGTAACCTTTGCAGTTTTAAACCTGGGATAGACTGGGATATTGGGAATTGCACCTCTTAATTACTAGTTTATATTGGCTTATGTTAGAATAATTACATGGCTGCAAGGGCACTGCAAACAAATGGCAGTAATAGCAAGTGATCTGCCACTGTTTCCCTAGTATGAAATGGACTGGTGGTTTGGGGTTCCTGTTTAAACCCTTAACTGTTTTACAACTGGTTGTATTTTTTGGAAAAAAGTAGAATAAACCATGGAAACAAAACTTCACTCCTTGAGGTGATTGATCCCTTAAGGGGTCCAGCTTGAGGCAGTTTTGGAAATGAGGAAACAAGGGAGAATAAAAGCTTTGACATCTGTATCTATCAGAATAGGATTTCAGTCACTAGCCAGAACCATTCACCAGTACAAAATTCACTTAAACAGAAACACTAGCAGATATTTAAGGGAAAAGTCCCATGCAGATCAAGAGCTTATTAGCCATTCAAGTCTCACTATCTTCCTGGTGCTGAGTTGAGATTCTTAGCGGAGCCATTTTTGTCAATGTGGAGCAGCAGAAAGCTGTGATCTTCGAACTGCATCTGCAGAAACTTCTGTGGTACTGTTTTCAGACTGGCATTGGGAGACTTAGCTTCTTTCCCTTCAGGACTGTACAAGAAAGAGGAAGAAAGCACAGTGAATGAAACTTGAGGAAATCATTATTTCACTTCCCCCAATAAAGTCCTTGTGCCTGTTTTTTAAAAAATCATTATCCTCATAAAGGGCATCTCACAACTAATTGAATGGGGGTGTCCAGGGGATTGGTGGCAGAAATGTCAGTCACTTTTATGCCTCACATAAATGCAAATAGAATTCTTAACATGGCTTTGTTTCTTATACATTAGGACTGCAGTAGAGTGCTTATCTTCAAGCCAAATGCCTGGTCCTGGGCCAAGTGCCATATGCGAACAGCACCAGAGTATACAATCTATTGCCAAATTCTTGGATATCCTCGCTAAGGGTCCTGGAGAGCTGTGCAGGCTTAATGGGATAATATATGCAAAACTAGTAAGCTTTTGAAAGGGAATAATTCATATTTAACTTTGGACTGAAAACAGCTGCTGCAATGTGGCCTTTAAGGGATGGCAGGGTGCTCTAAAATAGGTGGGCAAGATGCAGTTAGGCCCACCAAGCCACTGGATCTGGCCTGCTGCCAGGACCCTTGATGCACAGAGCAGCTATAGCCACTTTAAAGGCTGGCTGCTCTCAACTCTGGATGGGAGGGAGGGAGGAGGCTTTGTGTGCTACCCTGGTGCCCTATAAAATTTCTCTGCTCCCATTGGCCAGTTTCTGGTCAATAGGAGCTGAGAAATTTTGCTAGGGGCAGCATGTAAAACCTTTACCCTTCCTCCTCTGCCCTGAGTAGAGCTACATGGAGCAGCCTGGAACTGTTGTAGACAGGCAGGGAGCCTGCCTCAGTTTCCTGCAGGGTTGCTGGCTGGGAGCTGCCTAGGTAAGTGCCTACTAGCCACAGCCTGCTTCTGGCACCCTGCCCCTCTTGTCTCCCAACTACCTGCCCCATGTCGCCACCAAAACCCTCTGCAATCCTTTTCTCCACCTCTTCTAGGTCACAACTCCCTCCCAGGTCCTGCACTCCCCCTCCTACATCCCTCCCCAGGCCGGAATCATCTGCACCCTGTTCCCCTGCCCCAGATCACAACCCCCTCCATCTAAACTCCAGATCCCTCCACATTCTCTTGCACCCCAGTCTCCTACCACAAGCTCCCTTCTGCACCCAACCCAGACCCCCTCCATAGAAATGCAGCCCTTGACCACTTTCCAGAATCTTGGAGTAGCCCCCGTTACAAATTATTGCTCGTCCCTGCTCTAGAAATAGTGGAATACCCTTGGTGAAAATGAGTGTTTCTGAATTAACCTTATTAATTATGAATTAATCTCCTAGTTACTGGATCATATGTGAACTTACACTCTTAATTTCTGAAATCCTTAATTTCAATTAGTGTAAAACCATACAACACATGGTCAGGGGTCAAATTGGATCACTGACTGGCTTTACTGGGATTGTAGCCTGAACTCTACAAAAAGGCTAACTTGGTTACCCCCTGAAGCTTCTACAAAAAAGTGTCTGCTAACAGGACCAAATATTTCACAATTTACTTCTAAATGTGCAGCATCAGTTTGTATTTTGGTTTGCCACCATATTCTCTAGTTGGTCAATGAAATTGGACTAGTGAGGCTGTCCTCCACTCAAGGTACAAGTATGTTGATAGCAAATATTAAAGATGGAACTTGTGCTGACATTTGGTTAATGTCTGACACTGTAGCATCCTGTTTTCAGAAGTTTACAAAACAAATCATTCAAGCTGGAGGTTCCCGTGCATTTTGCTGACTTTTGGAAAGCTTCAGTAAAAACAGTTAAAATATTTCTGAAAATGAGATCTAGAGAAAATGCATTGTTTTGCCCATGTTTAAAATAAATTATTGCAGCTGTTTAATTGTCTATACCATCTCCATACTTTGGTTCAGGGACTTGAAAATTGGCAAAAGCATTGATTGTCTTTGTATAAGGAATGGTTTTTCTTTTGCTATTTCCATGAAAATCCACCCACATTTTACTGCCTTTGGGTGTTTGAAAATCTGTTTGCATATACTCTGTAGAGACTTCGTAACAGTTTTACAGTTAAGCTCTCTACAGATCCGACTACTGGGTATTCCTCAGGAGTTGAGCAGGACCTTCCTTGCAATTAGAAGTTGTGGGAAGTTGTTTCACAGAGACATGGGAGATTCTCTTATAAGGGCAGGGTTACTCTTAAAACATGGTAGCAATGCAGCTGTGCTGCTATGGTGCTTCAATGAAGAGGTGTGTGCTAACAGAAGGCCTCCCTATCACCACCTGAGGTTAGGTTGGTATCATGGTGATGCTCAAAGTTGTGGGTTTTTCACACCCAGGAACAACGTAATCCCAATGCACAGTAAGAAAAGCAAATATGGTAGGCAACCAGATTGGCTTACCGGGAAAATCCTTGGTGAGCTTAAACACAAAAAGGAATCTTATAAGAAGTGGAAACTTGGACAGATGACTAGAGAGAAGTATAAATATATTGCTCGAGCATGCAGTGGAGTAATCAGGAAGGCGAAAGCACAATTGGAATTGCAGCTAGCAAGGGAAGTGAAGGGTAACAAGAAAGGTTTCTACGGGCATGTTAGCAATAAGAGGCTACATCTACAAGTTTTTTCTGGCAGAAAATATGCTAATGAGGGACTCATTTCCATATTTTCTACCATTTCTTTTTTGCGCAAGGGATTTTTGTGTAAAAAGAAGCCGTGTGGACATTTCCTTTTTGCGCATAAACCCCATTCCCAGAGAGACATAAGGATCTTGCACAAAACCTTCTGAGCTCTCTTCCGGCCCTTGGTTTCTATGATTCTATAATATACACACATGGAAGTTTATATAGACCTTGCCTTGTGATCTTGTTTCCTCTGCAGATACCTGAGTCGTGAGGAGAAGAAGAAACAGCCAGACTGAAATGTAGAGGGTGGAGTAATCAAGTTGAGGGCATAACTGACTGCAGTAGGGAACAGAGAGGCTCCAATAGAAAAGGAGTGGAAGGAGAGGAGACTGAAACCCACAGTTCCAGAGTCTCCACATTCCTATGCTATTTTAACAACTAGCTGTGAAACTCACTGACAGTGTTTCATCCCCCTCTAGTGGCTTGTCCTCATAAAATGATGAGGCAGAATTTGCTGTGGATTTAAATGTCTCTCCCTTGCTGATGCCCTGACAGGGTCAGCAAGGTTCCATATGAAGTTGCCCTCCCACAAGCCTAGGAAACTACACTGAGGTTGCAAAGTCAAGCTCTCAAAAGTTAGGAAATGCCCGAATTAAAGCTCTCTCCGCAACTTTGAATTTGACCACCTTGTGTATATGCATTAGATGACAGTTTTTTTAATTATGTGATCACATCCAGGGGCTCTTTTTCCACAGAACCCTTGCTTCATTCACTGCACAGGATGGAACTACTCCGAGAAGGAACCAGGGTTGTGAAGAAGGCTGTTGCCTGCAGGACCCCTCCCTTGCTGGCTGCAATATGTGGAAGGTATATGTTGAATGAGGCATGAAACTTGAGCAAGAGAGAGCGGCTTTGTGGTTCAAGTGGTTAAGTGATACCTTTAGTCCTGCCAACAGGGAGGGCAAAGGGGGCAGTTACCCCAGGGCCTGGAGATTCAATGAAGGGTGGGGCCCTTTAAATTGCTGCCGGAGTGCTGCACCACATGCTCTGTGTGGTGCTGAGAGCTTGGGGAGAGACACCCCATGCTCCAGGCAGTGTGAAGGGCTGGCTGCCCCATCCCCTCTTCTGCCAGGAGTCTGCAGCTGCCCCCTCCTCCCCTTGTCCAGGGGCCCATGTAGGCTGCCCACTGGCCTGGATACCCTGGATAGTTGGATTCTATTGCTGCTTCTGCCTGAATTCCTGTATCAGGCAGGAAGGTCACTATGGGGCATTTCAGGTGGCCACCACTTGTGTTTCTCATTGTCAGCCCAGCTTGAGACCTTTAGTTCCAATTTGCAAATGTACGCATCATTCAGAACTCCATCTGAAGCCAGTGTGAGCTTTGCTCTGAACACAGCATGCTGTAAAAATGCAGAGTCCTTTGAAAAGTCAGGCCAGAAGCATTGTGGGAACCCATCATTAGTGGACATGTTACAATTTTGACCTTAAACCTGGATGTGCCTCATTTTCCTCATGTTTGAAATGGAGATAATATTTGCCTCCCTCACAGGAAAGCTGAAGATAAATTGTGAAGCATTTAAATATTGCAGCAATGAATGCCACTGGAAAGTCCCTAAGGACATTAATTCTGTATGCCAAGCAGGATTGGGACAATGTACAATAAATAATGCTTAGAGCCACACACCGTATGAAGAGAAGCAAACAAAATAGAGACTAGCTGCTCTTTCAATGAGCATTATGTCTTGTTTTGCACGGACTGAGGGAAAAGTCGTCTAGAGGAGGGGAGGGGAGAGAGAAAGCACATAATCATGTAATAAAGATTGTCACAATGCAGTTGCACAAGGGTCAAATTTGGTTGCACAAGCAATCTTTCTTCTGGCATTTCTGAATTTTTCAGTACTTTGCAAACTTAATGTTTTAAATATAAAAAACAGGACTATGTAGCACTTTAAAGACTAACAAGATGGTTTATTAGGTGATGAGCTTTCGTGGGCCAGACCCACTTCCTCAGATCAAATAGTGGAAGAAAATTGGCACAACCATATATACCAAAGGATACAATCACCTAATAAACCATCTTGTTAGTCTTTAAAGTGCTACATAGTCCTGTATTTTGTTTCAGCTACACCAGACTAACACGGCTACATTTCTATCACTGTTTTAAATATAGTTTTGTGTGTAACTGTTGCATTGAAAGACTTGAAAGTCTGAAGAAGGCTGAAAACAAATGCAGTCTGCTACAATACTACTTGTTTTAAACTCAGTTCTTCAAGCGCTTGTTCATATCAATTCCAATCAGGTGTGTGCGCGCAAGTGTGTACAGCAGCCAGATTTTCCCCCTAGCAGTATCTATCAGTCAGTCTGTTTGTCCTTTGGAATAGCATCTTTCTGACTCTAACTACAGGGCCCCCTCAG